AAAAAAAAAATTATTACTTCAATATTCTTAATACGAAAAAAAGATATAGGTAGGCGAGTATTAGTCTGCTTAAAATTTAAAAATCTGTTCCAATAATCACAAGTTATTTGATTTGGGAAGTAGGTCAATTACCGTTGAAATCAGAAATGCACCGAATGATCATCGACTATTTGTAAAAACCGAATATTCGACCAACTTAGAGACGGTTAGTAGGCGATGCTAAATCGGAATGAAGTGCCGAATATTCAGTCAATTAATTTAAATACTTAGATATAGTAATTAGTATTATCATTGGTACGAGTATTATATTTGCCGCCAGTTTTGTTTTATTTAGGTACAGTCGGCAAAACTCATAGTATTTTATTTTTAGTTGATATATTTCTTTACTTACCAAAATTCTCGTCTGACTTAATGAAACGTATAAAATATAGGACTTAAGTAAAATTCGATAAGCCTAAACATTTAAATAGATAATTTAAATAAATATATAAAATGTCACATTCTGCAAATCTTAAATTATGCGTTAATGATCAGGTCGTTATCACAATTAGGACAAACTCTTAAAAAAAGTTAAAGCCGGTGAAATCGAATATTTAACATTTTTATCTGGTCGGTTAAAGTTTTTGATTATACATAAAGTCATATACAATCCACACCGAACTCAATAAATACGTTTATATCGCATTGACCAATCTCGTCGATTCTTACGACATTAATTTTATAATTTTACTTTCTTTTTGTCGTTAATTTCTACCGTAAACCTGTTCACAACATTGTATATTTGCAAATGTCTTTAATTTAACGCCACCAAGCCTGGTGGTAATCAAGTCAAAGTCAAGGTCTGTGTTTTCACTAACATCTCGACATCTCGAGACACGAATTATGGCTAAATACGAATACGAGCATAAGTTGGAAAGTCTAGAATATCTTATGAGCGTGGCGAAAGATGCCTGACGGGCGACCTAACAAATTGACTTCTTTGCTTCGACTAGCAGATGATCAACACATATATAAATTCTGTATGAATATACAATAAACTATTAATTTATTATGATTGATAAATATGCACGTGGCTTAATTTTTGCATATGTAGCTTTGACTAATTATATCTATCTATATGTGTGTATAAAATCCTCTAATTTGTTTTACGCTTCTTTTACAACTGATTGTAAAATGAAATTTAATGTTATTTTACTATGTAGGTAACAATATATTATTAATTTTATGATTGTTATTGATAGAATGTGTTGTACAGTTTTAATAAAAAGATCATATAAATTATCGTATGGATTTAATCAAATTGAATACGGTGTAGAAATTGCAAACAATGCCACTGAACGTGAAATATTGTTGATTCGAAATTTTCGAAAATCGGTTTCGTCGGATGCATTGCGGAGAAAGTAAGTAGGACAAGAAACACAAGAAGTACTTGTTTCTTTGCCAACTTGCATGGCAATGTTGGAAACTAAGTTTAAGTTCAACCAGTGACCATCCCAATACATACCTTATTTTATTTGTATATAAAAAAATGTGTTTAAAATTCTTAATTAACAATTAATTATATTTTATATGTAGTTTGTATCAATTTCTTTTATTGCTAATTGCTTTTTGATGTGTTTGATGTTAATTGAATTTACTGCAAAATTATAAGAAATTATTAGACATTCCTACAATACTTAAGACTTGGCAGATGGTAGTCGATTAAAAATGAAAATTAATCGCTATCAATACCTATATCAAGAATTTAAACGCGATTAGGAACAAACAACTTTCATCTTCTATTTACTTTCATCAAATTTCCAGATTGAAGCTACGATAACTTATTTTTAGTCGAGAGCGTTGTGAAGTTTATAACCAAATATCAAAAAATAATTATACCCAACATGGTGTTTAATAAGATAAGAATCTACTGATTATTTGTTGACATTCTCATAGTGTTAGATTTTACTGTGATTTTATTTTGTATTCGACGTTTTTGTTCCGTACATTCCGTTGTTTTCCAAACGTTGTCGCTTATAACTGGCATTTAAAAACAAATTTTAACTGTAAACTGTCGCAGTGAACCAACTTCATTCAATTACAATCGTTTTGGCAACAATTTCACGTGAAACTGCACATACCTTCAGTAATTTAATAGAAATTTGCTTTTGAATTCTCTAACGGTTTATACGATTACAATAGTTTTAACATTTGAAACAAATAGTTCAAACGATTTGCACACGTGTTTAATCAGATAGACTCAACAGGGATTAGTTAAAGTGTAAACAGTGTATAAACGAGGTTTTCTTGCCTTAATGAAGAATATGTGCTTTCGTTCTGAATACGAAAGAAGTGTGCGCAGATGTGAAAATAATAATTTATTTGAATACCTTAAAACAGACGACAGAAAGTGAAACTTGCTCATTAACACGTTTTGCCTATTCACATCTTAAAGCCGTAGCTTCAATTACAGTAGTTAAGACGTTGTCAGAAACAATGAGTTTTAGAATAATTTTACTTAGGTTTGTTGCGCATAAACTACTTTCTATAATAAAACATAAAACAAATCAAAGATGGCTACATACTCGTATCTACTCGTTATTTCTGACAACGGAGTTAGACAGACATAAAACATACTTCCGGTAAAATTTCGCTAATATTCGTGTGCTAATAATCGTAGTCGAAAATGAAACCGCAAGGTTTAATTTTAATAAGAATCATTGTACGTCACGGTGTGTTGAGTATTTTACACGGAGTTTTGTTTGACGTTTGTCAACTTTATTGTAACCATAATATTGTATCAATATAAATTTTGTAGACCGCGGAAATGTCTTTGAAATTTTTGCTCACTCCGTTTAGTAACAAGGACTTTTAACCAAATTATATTATTAAATTTAATTATAAAAATATTAGGCTGGAGGCATGCGTGTAAAGGTCGTGAAATTGACAAATTTAAACTTAATTAGATCTATTGTTCCTGTCCGATAAAAAAAAAAATTTAAACTAACGGTTTATTTAAATACACAAAAATGCGTCTAAGTTTGAACACACTTGCTAGTACAAGTCTCGCTAAAGTCACTTGTTCGGACAGTAAATAGTTCTACAAAGGCGATTGAACTGGCTGCGGCTAGACTATGCCGGAGCACCAGACTACTGCTTACGGTGTTTATCAGCTGATTTTCAGTTGTACGCTACATTTCTACACTATTCTATGTGAGTGACTCTAGCATTTGATTCGCATTGTACATGTGTGTGCACAGATACATTGTATAGCATAATGTATATGCAAAGCATTAGCATATGTTTTATTTAAATTGTGCAAGTTTTTTCGCCTTTCAATCAATCACGGACGGTGGGAATTGGAACACTTCGATAACCGTATTTTTTTTGAAATAGAACTTTGTATTTGGTTAACGTAGCTAATACATGTGATATATTAGTTTATAAGAATTGATGTAATTTAAGTTATATTAATATTTCAATTAGAGAAAACTTATTTTAAAATAAATTAAAAAGGATTAAGTTTTGAGTATTATGTTTAGTTTTACTAGTCTAATATTTTTTTGTAAACTGATTGACACAGTTATGAAATTTTACAAGAAATCGTTTATACCTTTTATAAAGGTAATTAACAACATAGATATATCTGTTAATAACTGCAGGGGGGAATTATGCAATTTGATTTAATGGATTAATTATGTTTGAGTGCACCGCAGAATTTCGAAGAATTAATCAAATTATGAACAGCTGCAACCGATTACCGATTGAAGCAATACTGTTTTTTTTATATAAAAGGAGATACGCATATTGGCATTACGTGGTTGCAAAACTTTCTTACGAGAAATGAAACATTTGAGGCGCTTCGATGATTTTTGCAGATTTTAATTACAGACATTAATAAAGAAAATAAAAAGTGATTTATATTCTAATATGAATACATTATCCCATCCAGGAAATTACATCTTAAATAGAATAAAGACACCTAAACAAGCATTCGCGATATAATTGCAAACTTAACGGAAATAATTACGTTTATCTATGATGCATTGATGTAATGGTCTGCATGTAATCGAATTATGAAGGCACTTAATTCAAACTCATTGGAAATATGCAAATTGGACGCTTTGGCTGGATGAAGTGCGTTACTTCCATATATCAGCAAAATTACAATGTTTTTTAAACTTCACACTTTCAGTTTTGATTATTATTTCCTGTAATAAGCGGACGAGTGCGGTCTTATCGATGATTTATTAAATAATTTAATCGGCAATTCTTTCGTTGCTGAATAATCATAAATATTTATAGTCAAATCATAATTGTTGGGTAAACAATTGTTATGCACGCGGAAGCGGTTAATCATAATGATTTTATGATAGTGCCTTTCTGTAAGTTTATGATCATACGCTATTTCTATAAACCTATGACATTTTGATTTACTACGGTGTCTAAAAAATATCACCTTTGGCACAGCTGGCGACGGAAAAAAACGTTGAGTTACGACAGTTTGCATTCCAGTGCCTTGCCTGCAGTTTGTTTACTGTTGTCATAGAAATGTGGAACTTGTTCTTTTATTAAAAATTGTTTCATTACAATATACCTACAACCAGGCGCTTTTGTAATAACACGTCTAGTGAACTAGATAATTTTATTATTATTATAATTAGTATTTTATTTAGTATTATAGTATATTTATTTTAAGGTTCTTTAAAATTTAATTTGTTGATGTAAAAGTAAAGTATATATATAGCTGAGGTAGATGGTAGATGATTATCTATTAAAACATGTAGATAAATATTTGCATGTAAAATTGCATTTTAAATATTTGTAACATGGTGGTCTACCTGCCGCCACTCTACCCTTAGATGGCTTCAACGGCGGCGGCGGCGGTTAGAAGTGCACGATGCTAGAGTGCCGTTTGTCGTCGAGTCATGCGCGATATGCTGCCATTATTGATCTTGGGTCCGCTCTGCTCCAGCACAGCGAACATCCATCCGCTGCGCTCCCGACAGGACCAAAAACGCAACGATCGCGAACGGGCCGACGCGCCGCAGAATACACGCGAAGCTCGTGGAAAGTAACGGCGGTGGCAACCACGACTAGTCGTTCGCGGCGCGTGTGCGGGGGCGGCAGCGCGTATGCGACACGATCACAACCACGCTGATTTGCTATGCGTTGCGTTGCCAAGCTACCGTCTGTGTCGTGCAAGATCTTGTGGTTATCGTTCGATTGCATGACTTTCGGGCGTTTAAACTAAATCATCGTGGTGTTGTCATGGGTGTTGCGATCGTCGTGGGCATGCTGCAGCAGCCCGTGGGTTTCGCCAAATGAGTGCATATCATACGTATCCCAGCCGCGGGTCGCGGACGATGGGCTGGAGCCGCGCCGACGATCCGGTATTCAGCACAATTGTTAGCGAACCAAACCGAATAGTTTATTACACCAGTAGCTGTCTTTATGTGCACTTATTATACGTCTTTTACTTGCACTGTAGACTATTTTTTATCGTCAGCTTTTGTTCTAATTTCTGCAATTTTCTGCTTTCTATGTTAGATGTTAACTTTACCTCAACGCAATTTGTGGTGGAAATTTTGCAATTTTAATGAATTAACGGATGTAGCCGTAAATTTCATTCACTGTTTTATTCATAAAGGACCTCGTAAAACCAGCTGAACCTACAGTTGCACCTCTGTCAATCCAATTTGTATCCTTTTGTAGCGGTGTATTTTCAAAACGTCTAGCAAATTGCATGTACCCTCCTCACAGCAGTTAAGGTTGGTGGTATCCGACATGCGCTCTGGATGTAGCTAGGCATGAATTCAAAGATGTTTCGCACGAAGCGAATGTGTTCCGCATCGTCTTGCCTACGCTAGTTCTTCCGAAGGCAGCGGTTGGCGGCAGCATCAGTTAGTCGTTAGTCTGCGCGTTCGTGTTGGCGTAACCACCTCCAGCACCTCAACTCCCTAGTGCCGGACATTTATGTGTATAGATAGGCCTGGACCAGTTTTCATTTTCTTTTTATGCCTGTAGAATAGAATTTAGTTCATAAAAAATAAAATATATCACGTTATATGCGTAAAAAAAATATACGAGTATTTTTTTTATGTTATAGTTTTATTAATATCATAAATCATTTCATAATTGAGTCATAATCTTTTGAATTTAAACCTATTAATATGTTACCAGATAACAGTGATTAGCAAAATTTAATCGTCGTATATGTGTAATGTAATGGTATGTGATTCTAATGGGAAGCTGCTTTACGCTTTAAATGAAATTCAAAAATTAGGTCAACCCTACTGTGGATTCTGGCCACGAGCTGGAAAGGTCACACTATTAAATATTACTTAGCATGGATAAAAGCATAAGTACACAACAATTTTTATAACCTCAAAAAATGTATTCAAAATTTGCGAACAATTTAGACATGGTTATGTTTCAATTTACTTGCAACTACAGTACCTAAGTAAAGTACTCGTAGTGTTGCGATATGTGATAATACCAAATGTTATTATTAACATTTTTTGTAAATAAACTTTACAAAAATTGCAGCAAAAGCTCGAATAGTAGAATATTTGCCAAAAATTGAAAATGGAATTATGGATTATATAAATCTTGCGGGTTTCATGTCACACGCTTTTAAAATTACGCTACCGGCTACTTCTGTAAAGCCGGAAAAGCTTTTTCTTCAGTAAAATTAGATTTCGTGTCGTGATAACGCGATAATTCGGAAGTAAAGCAAACTCACGCTCTTGAATTAATTCTTGTTAAAGTGGCAACAAAGACGCATGGAATTGTTTTCGTTAATTGTTGTTTGTTTTAGGGATTTTATGACCGCGTAAATGAATATTTTAATATTCGAATACGTCGTGAAAATTAAAATGACAACTAGAAAACAGTTTATAATTCAATTTAGAAACCAGGTTTGTTGCCATACACAGTTAAATTTACTGAGAATTATTTCTAGATTAGACCTATATTAAATTCTTTATCATTCCTTGGTACATTCATTTTTAATAATGCACCATTCTTGTTTCTTTATGATTTCCGCTCAGGTTATTATTATCTCATTTTGTTTTTATATAGTTTACTATTATATTAATATGGTATTACCTGTCCCAGGAACTAATTCTATAATTTTAAACACGCACACGTATATTTTATAGAACTAAACTTTCCCGAAATTATCTTTTCACTTTTAGTACAATTTTATTTAATGTCCGTCAAATGTTGCACTATAATACAGATATTATAGAGCAGTATGCTCAGTCTTTTGTATAATAATTAATATAATTCAAAGCGTACGTATTAATTATGCTTATTTTAGATATTTTAGAAGCTGTATATTTTTATTCATGTTTGCATTTTGTTGGAGTAATTTTTGTTATATGCTTTTGTTCTAGTATCGTGTACTAAAGCAAACGCTATATTTAACTAAGTACTGTTTGTATGACTTATTTTACGAGCGTGGATAACGAAAGTATAATATTTGAACATTTTTTAAATGCAATAACTGTAGACTAAAAATGCAAGAGGTTTGTTAATGTTTTAATTTAACGCTTCGAGTTTTACATAATATATGATCTTTATAAATTTTAATGAAGTCGATGTTTTACGTGACAAGTGAAAATTTTGTACTTATTTGCATGTAGTTACGCTCACAAAAATTCATTATTATCTGTGCATTATGACATTCCTTTACTGAAATACGTCAATTGTGGCAGCGCGTTTTATCGATGGTTGCGTTTGATGTCACATCAACGAATGAATCACCTATTACCATATTCGCATATTGGCAAACCCTCGCATTAAAACACGTTCGAAACAAGAAAAATAATTTGAATGATGGCCTTTGATTTAAAAAATACTTAGAAGGGTCGTTGTCCCAACCTCGACATAGTCCATTTACCTTTAATATCGTAAAAGTCAACGTCACAAAGAACCTCTCCAGACGATATAAATATTCTCCTCCAAGACTGTCAGAACATAGAGGACAATGTTTTGACAGTTTTAAGCTTTCAGAATCTATCATTATGATTGTTCTTTTTTTTTGGTAATTTAATAATATTTTAAAACCAAATGTATAATTATTAAACCATTAAAAAGTCGATGAACGACGTCGCCAAGTTCACAGACATCATATCTCAGCGGAGTCATTTTATTTTTTTATTTCGTTTATATCCAAAAACCCACGCTCTCGGTTTTCACATTGAGTCAATCCTGCGGCACAAAAGACAAACCGAGTATTCGACGTGTCTCGGCAGGTTTAAACGAAATTTAATACTGATACTTCTAAGAGATAAGTCTCATTTTCATTTTGAAGTTGACTTTGGGTTTGGCTCATTTTTCAGTAACGGGCAGACAGAAGAATTCTAGCCACAAAAAGCTGCCAAATATTTGGTTGCTAATGGAGCTCGTTTTTGTCCTCCTCTAAATCCCCTGACTCAGACTTCCAGTGCAATGGACTTGCCATTGTCTGCCGTACCAATCTCCCACCTACCCACATTCAAAATTGATGAAGATTTTAGCAGGGGAGACTGAAATTTCAACTTAGATGTTGTTGCTTCAAATGAAGACAGTTAGACTGTAGCGATTGTCGGGCGTTTTATACAGTTTTGAACACCTCGGATTGAATAATGCGAATTTAATCAAATTATCAGTGAATGTTGGACACGCGTAACACTCGAGGCGAATTCAAGCAAGCGAACAAAAGCCACAATTTCCTCTTCATTATACATCACTTTACCTCATTCCACACTAGTGTTATGTTCGCTATTTGTGCGAGGTCTATTCCTCTATTAGAAGCAACGCACACACAATAAGTACGAACTACAATAGCCATGTGTCTTGATGATGTCTCAGCACACTTGAAGTCTGGCCAATTATATTACATTATGAGGGGGGCATGCGACATACCTTGCTTTATTGCTAGTGCATGCCTGCTAATGAAGACGCTAATGATATACACATTTGCATATTGTTCATTTAATCATTATAAACTGTTACTGATGCCATATATGTGTGGTACATACGAGGACTCAGTCGTCAGCCTGCTTGACGGCAATATGTTTGTAAATAACTTCTTTCCCATTTTTTAATTGAGTCATAGAGTGACATTTAACAGTTCGTTACATTATTCCGATTTTTTGTTCTTAATAGTAAGACTGCACAAATATGAAATTTGTATCACCAAAATATAACATTATCCTTATTTGTAAATATTGAGTCAAAGAGAATTGAGTAATATTGGATATCACGCTATATTTTAAAAATATTGCAACAAAATAGTTATGTAATTGTATACTCCTACTGATGCCTCAGAATATAGATTGAGCAACCGTCATTCACGTAGGCAGGTCGTACTATTATAAATCTGCATATTATTTACAACAATATATTTACACAGCATCCTGATTTACTACTTATCATAAAAAGCTTTTCAGGCTATAATTCATGACAGAGAAATTGCACGATCAAGTCGAAACCTGATAAGAAAATAATAAATATGAAATCGACACAAGCATTTCGTATATAAATAAAATATATAGGTATATATAAAAATCAGATATTGAAAGCTCTAATGCTGAATTAATCCTACGATAAAGCTCTTTATCAGGATTTTTGCATGATTTCGTTTTTTGTATTTTTTGCCGAAACGATTTCAGCATTGACCCAAATGATCTATGCTCATGCTCCAGTTCACAGAATGCGTATTCGATAAGAATTTGTTTTGATATTTAAGACTCTCGCATCCCTAGGAAAGGAATGCTCTCATTTTAGAATTCTTCATTCATTGATTTTGCGCTTGGAACAAAAAAGTTTAATATTAACTTTATTCCTGTAACCTAATACAAACCATTTTCAAATAACATATAAAACCAAATTGAATGTTTAGAAAATTATTCTGTAGTCTTTGCCAAAGACGTGAATTCAGTAATCGTTGTTGCTAGGCTGCGTTTATGTTCATACCTCCGCATTGCGATGCCGAAGCATACTCTTAACGTCGTTTGCATGATGGTTACGTGAATTTTAGATTAAATTATATTTTCATGAATAATAACGCCGCGCTGGCTCGCCGCTTTGTTTGCATTGCATATCAACATGCAAACTGGGGTGAATGTCTTTCGACCGTCTTTTTGTTGTGTAGTGGAAGATTTTACGACTATATAATCACCCATTCAGAAAACAAAACAAAATACATAGTCTAGTATCAACCACAAATTCGCCTACAAATTAAAACTAGAATAATGTCCAATTAATTCTTAAATGTCAAGATCTGAAAACATTCTGCAATACATTGCGTTAACCCGTGATTACAATGCTGAATTAGGGAGGCTTTATATTAAGGATTACGATTCCATGGTTTCAATTTAATCCGGAGATAATTTTCATGAAAGCACGTTCATAATCTGTCTTTAAGAAAACATTTGAGAAGTTGAGCTTTTAAAATATCTTTGAAATTGCAAATTTTTTGCATACCTACAAGTTACTGACTTCTTTATGCACTGAAGTTACTTTAATAACATAGCTCACTACTGCTAAGGATTTAAGTGGTACCAAATACCGAACATGATACACGCGAGCTGCGCTTTCCACAATTTTGTTTGTCAGTTTATAATAATACCCTGATTTGGGTGTTTTGTGTTCAAGTTTTTCCATGCAGGTTCATGTTTTCTTCAATCACTTCTTACTTTGCCACAACTACTCATGTTGTAATGGAGTGCATTAGTTCGCAAGTAATTGTCTTTTTACGTACGTACGTACTTCAAGCGTTCCAGATATTCTCGAGTACTTGAACTTCTTGCATGTTTTGCAGTGGCATTTAGCTGATTTGACGCGTTATTGGAAGTAGGTTAAAAGAAGCAATTTGAACTCGCGATGCTAACGGCTCATCAAACCGATATACGAGCAAGTACTCGTACATATCAGAGTACAAGGGACAACTTTCTGAACCGTAAGTGGTTTATATATTGACAACACAGTTCCATACAAGAATCATCATCAAAAAGAAAGCAGCAATAAACTCTGAAATCTTTGATTCACGCGTGGGGCCTTGTTACAGCAATATTTGATTGGATTTGCGTTATTCGATGCAACTGAGTATATTAGCACTTGCATAAGTTGAAAATCGGCTTGCGCCATAACACGAGGTCGTAAAATTTTTGAACGATTCTGCCAAATTTCTATGTTGTAAATTTACAACAGAATACGAATGCTAACAAACATCTAACACACAAATTGCGATCGAATTTAACGGCGGAGATAGCGAAACCACATCAAATTGAAACATCACTTTTATAGGTATACGCATAAGTTTTATGACTTTTTTAAACTAAACGAGTGGATGTAGAAAATTCAAATGTGTTTCGTATTCTAGTATATTTAGAAATAAATCTGTGCATCACTGTCTTGATAAGACTTCACTGAAAGCTGTAACTCGTAACATATTAACATATTTTTAAACTCACAACAGTAGTAGGTAACTATTTTCAATATAAACTTTAATCTATAAATGTAGATTGCAATCCAATATTGCGAAACGTGGGTATGCGTATTTTCAGTAGCTCTCACTTTATGTTTATACACATGAAGATGTTAGAATATTCATAGATTTTATAAACATTAGATGCGCAAAACCAGATACGGTGTTCTGCAATCTGGTAAATATCACTTTCAACGATTTATAAATTATCACAGGAAATCCCATACACGTGTCGTTATTGGAATTAATTAAACTAATACTTTTATTACTGAAAATCATTATCAAGCAGTAATTGTATTTATATTAACCTTTTGAACGTGAATAGAACTAATAAACATATTGAACACGTGCTGGCGTTGCAGCTACACGTGCATTATGTACTTTATAAACAATAACAAATGGTTGTTTATTGTTACATGCAGTTTCCAACTGAAGTTTATAATTTATCCAACTGTGTTATGTTTACGCATGCGATGTAGTGTTTTAATAACTTGATAAACTTGCAGCTATTATTATTTACTGATTTTATATGATTATATTCTGTTGCAGAGCCCAGCTTCACACCATCACAAGGATGTTCTCACTAAATATGGGAAACCACAAACGTCTTCTGCTGCATCAGGCAAACATCTAAAAGTTTCTTCGAGGACAAGTCTCTCTTCATCGAAGTCATCCCTTATCAATTCTGAAGTAAGTAAAAACTTCGTTTTACAGGTACATTGATGTTTAGAAAACATCAACATCAAGAGTCAGTGAATGAATAAAATATGATAATGTTGCAAGAAGTAACACTTTCAATAGCAAATGAGTTTATAATAGCTTTTTTGCTGTAACTTGTTCTCGCGCTGAATGCGTTTTCAAATTGGGAGCTGTTATCCGATTTGAAACCGCCGCAAATGCGTTGGGCCTGAAAACATGAACAACAATGTAATTGGAATCATAAAAATAATACGTGTCGGGATATTAAATGAAAGCAAGAAAGGTCTTTTGTTGCTAGTTGCTGGTGTGACTGTGTACAGAGAGGAAACTGACTGGTCGTTGAGTCGACTTTCATTAACATAGAAATATTTAGGTACGAGTACTTATATGTGAAATGCGCTGAATGCGTGCGAAAGAAAACAACAAATAAGCAGGAACTACGGTGTTGAACTTGGGTAATTTATTATTTACAACAAAGTATGTATTTCAACAACAAAAAATGAATGAATGAATGAGTGGATGGTGATATCAACATTACAAATCAAATTTAATTTGATTGGGTTACCGACGAATCCCGGATTTTTATTGACTAAATGTTCTAACATAATAGAAAACGGGTCTGCAGAAAGCTTCTCCTAACCACTAGTTCTTTTTTTCTAATTTTCATTTATTTAATTTCATATATCAATTTGTGTCTACAATTTGTGGAAGAATGGTGCATGCAGATACATTGATCTTGAATTGAGAATAGTAATGTATTCAAACTTTTGAATCAACTTACACATTTGGCAGAGCAATGCAAATAATTTAAATGTAGATACAGTAAAGATGCCAATAATATTCACAAGGACATTTTGTTGATGCAAGGTAAAAACCTACACGTTTTGATCTTTTGTAAATGTAAAGTGTCTTGTGTTTCGTTTGCAAATATCTTTTATACTCAAATCAAAACTGTGACAAATTTATTTTAATTAATTATTTTAATGATAAAATTATATTACATTATTTGTTAGATATTTTATCATAAATGTCAAATGATGTTTTGCATTATTAGGTACCTGCACAATTCTGTTATTAACTGTCCTAGTATGGTGCGCGGAAGTAAATAGTTCTATTTATTGATTTAAACGTCAAAATATAGGCTTAACTGACATTTGGGCTTAATTAATTCGCGAGCATGACCCGTGGGCGACGTGTTTAGACCGTCAGAAACTGCGAAACTGTGAATTATTCAAATACATTCTTGCTCAAACGATTACCACTAACTTAACGTGACAACAATTTTATTGAAACGATTATAATATTCGGAAGCCTTAGGTTAAAAAATATTTACGGCCAATACCTATAAAAATTAATATAATGGATTATTAATTTGCTGACAAACAAATAAACATCCATTAGTTATTTTTTATCCGTCCAGCACTTAATAGATTGAAGGCATGATTGATGACACACTTCTTTTGTTTGTTATAGTTGCCGCATTTAGATCACGGCAAGTCGTCGGCGAAAATCAACTTGGGAATAAATCAGTCGACGATGACAAACTTCGGTGGTGTCGTTGGCGGCGACGGCAAAACGGCAACGACGCCTGTATCACCAGCCACACGTGATAGAGATTGCTTTCCGGCGATCAACAATAATTCACGCAGTCAGATGAATCTTACAAACAACAATAAGCTTGATGAAACACCACATGTGAACAAACCTCTTACACCTACAGGTAATTAGTGACGTAAAAGCAAAATTTTAATTCAATATTACATTATTTTTGATGACTGATATCAAATAACTGAAAAATAAGTTTTTGAAATTTACCGCACCAGTAAACCGTGCACTTGGGTGGTTTCTATGGTTTCTATCTCAAAATAAGCACTTGTAGCCGTGCATTAATTAACAAGCGCATATTTCCAGTAAAACCTCAAGGTATAATGTTATAAATGGAAACCCTTAAAAATAGCTGTGTAATACGATATTATGTACTAAAAATTGTAGAATTTCATTCAAATAACGCTGTTATCTCATATTTCCCGAATCACCACTAATGAGATATTTTGTGCATCAAGCTTTTTTATCTTACTGCTAGCCAGTTTATACCTACGTTATAATGAAACTTTAACGCACGTAGCTAACTGAATAAAATTTTGTAAACGAGCGCAAAGGTAGATTTACATGTTAGCATCGCTTGATTGAATTTATTCTTCAAGGCTGTGTTTCACTAATACCTGCGGTTTGAAAATTTGCAGAGGCATTAAGATTATATGGGGATTGCTTAACGGAGTACGAACGCACCGAGATTGAAAAGTACTCCAAGATCTGGTACTTGGGATTGAACGCGTGTAAAGTCATTGGAGGTTCATGCAACTCTGGTTACGACGATGCTAGCGGAAGTTATGCTAAGGTAAGATTTCCAAATACATATTTATATCAAACTAGACTTATTATTGAACTATCTCGAAAATTTGTTAGAATGTAATATTTCAACAACTTCAGGAAGTTAAATGTTAGTCAAAATAAACAAAGAAAATCTAGGTGGATGAAAACCCAAACGAAAAGTGGAAATACCGCATTAACATAGATTCAAACGACATGCATAAAACTACTAAATGAATACGTCACGCAATGGGTGTATCATAGAAAAACGATTGAACCTACACGACCAATCATAATTTTCAAGTTTTATTAGTTTGGTTCAGATGTTCTGTCCCACTTTAAGTTATATGCATAAATTACATGTTTTGCTTTACTTTTTAGTTTCTCCGTCTGCCATAATTTCTAATTTTCCTAAAACTAATTTTATTAATTAGTATGAAACGTGTTTATATGTTTGTAATTCCGTAGGTCATTATGTCGGAGTTATATACATAGATTAATAGCGATTGTTGTTTCTAAAAGTTTTAACATGCTTTGTAGCGCTGCATGCAGATATTTTCGGCCTAAATATAGATTATCGTATATAGCCCACAAAAAGTCGGATAATAAAAGTTAAACGATACAATTTGCACGATTTAGAAACTATTTTTAACCACCCGCAGTCTATTTTTACTTTCTATTCTTGTAGGCTTCTTTTAACTATACACATTTTCAGTGCAAAAAGGAACACTGGCTTTATGTCACCTCCATCATTTCAGTTTTACTACAAATATTACTTGCGTGGTATCCACATTTATTTATGTACTCCCAGCTACCTAAATATTCATGAAATTATGAATAAACCAGCACCAGCTCCTTTGGTGTTTACACATCGACAATCAACATATCAGAATAATTATAATTAGCCGACTATTCAATAACTAACATCCCACGATGCTGAGCGTTGATTTTATAAGCAAGATTGAGACAGAAGGCAAACATTGGTGAAACAAGTAAAATCACTGATGCCTTATATCTATCTATTTATTAATATAAGTAAATATATAAATAATTTTGAATTTATACAAAAAAATGTTAATCCCGTAACTTGCAAAAGCTTGAATTCCTCTTATTGCGACGCCATTAAAGATACTTAAAGGATATATCTTATATACTCAGATGAATTATAATGTGGTGCATAAAATCTAATGAATAAACATTGCAATATTAAAATTACTCAAGCATACATACATGAAGAGCGGATGTTATGCAATTTTCAATTAAAGTTTTGCAATCGGTTGTCAAATGTAAATTTAAGAAAAAAATATCCAAGAGTATAACTACAGAATAATTTACCTAAGTAGTTTATAAATTTTAATTAATAAATATTTCTTCACTCAGAAAATTGATTCGATAATCATAAATATTTCTTATTGATAAATTGTAATTGAGTCATTAGTCATTGGAATGCGACGTAATTATGTCAAGTAATTAATACACTTTGTAAATTGATGCGGCAGTATCTGCACCTACTGAAGGCAGCCTATAACAGTATTCACTTTGCAATTTTGCTATTAATATTAAATGAGTTTAACAATACAATTATAATTTTAAAAGTTCCTATGACTCAGGTCGAGTTATGTGAATCTATTAAAATTATTTCGATTCAAAACTATAAAAATCAAGAACGCCTCATTGCCAAGTAGAAGCGATACGTTTGTTGTAGAATAAATGTATAAACAATTATGAACGTTTATGATTTTAATAACATTGAATATTTTGGGTGTTCAATGGTCAAGTGAAAGTCTTCGTGTTGCATGCAATGGGTCTATCAGTATATGATCACGATTTTATTTTCATGTTTATGTTCGATAATTGTACGCTCTCGGTTGTTTCTAGGTACTGAACGATCATATCGGCTACCGATACGAGATTCTCGAAGTCATCGGAAAAGGAAGCTTCGGACAAGTAATCAAGGCAATGGATCACATGACCAATAAGCCGGTGGCAATCAAGATCATTCGCAACAAGAAGCGGTTTCATCATCAGGCACTAGTAGAAGTGCGCATTTTGGAGCATTTAAGAAAGAAGGATAAAGACGGCAATCACAATGTCATTCACATGCTTGAATACTTTTATTTTCGAAACCACCTTTGCATCACCTTCGAGCTCATGAGGTACGTAATCACATCCAATGTTTGCATGCAATGCATGCATGCGATCATTACTCTGCTAACATTCGTGTTTCGTCCATCCTTGCAGCATCAATCTGTACGAGTTGATCAAGAAAAACAACTACCAGGGCTTCAGCTTGAACTTGATTAGGAGGTTTGCTGGATCTTTGCTCAAATGTCTGCGTTTGTTGCAGAAGGAACATATAATTCACTGCGATTTGAAACCGGTAAGTTGATGAAATTATGGGTTGTTTATCCATCAAATAAAATTGATAAAACAGAAAAATAACAACTAAGCAGCAGGAATGCATTTTGTGTGTGTATATCTATTCCATCAGCACGCATTATTGATTCAAATCATTTTTCTACTGACATGGAAGAGCATTATATTTGCCCTCGTAGCGTTATAGATTTTATATCGGTGAATGGCAAGTGACAAAGGAAGCCAGTCTCGTAAAATTAAGCTTTTACTGCACTGCGAACCTGTTATTGACATACAAACTAAACCACCTACAAATTTCTATTATTAGTGTTCCTGCTTTTTGTATGAAATAAGAATTCATGTCAATGTTTCGAAGGCGAAATAATTTCTAATAGCATACTAAAACCAATTTACTAACCATCATAATCACGATAATCAACGAAGCAACTGCTAAAAAACACGAATATAAGTACTCTTACAAATATTAGTTAATGAAAACGAAACTCAATAATTAACATGTATAATTACTGCGCAAACTGTAGAAGAAGTTAACAAAGAGCATAACGGCGAGACCAGACGCAATATACGAGTATACGCCATACTAGGAATAAAAGAAGAAAAAGTTAGCGCAAAAGGAAAAGTAATACACGCTCTAATTCGCGAGCAAACCGCGGTGGATGCAACGAGATCGCCGATTGTAACGTTAGAATCGAAGTTTATGCATTACAATCATTACATTAACAATAATAATCACAACCGCAGTCATTAACTACACATATAACAAACGACAGATAGAAATATGTTTTATATACGGTAACTTTATAGTCATTGCACATGATAATTGCGTTTTTAATTACTTTCTGCAAAGATTTGTATTAATAATTATATCATTTATTCAAGTGAAATTACTTTAATTTGAGGGAGTACGTTTTGTTTCTCGTCCGACTTGCCGTTAATAAAACGCATCGTCAGGCATCTCGAATTAATAGTATATTAATCTATTGAAAGTGTAGGAGAATAATATAGGTAGTAAAGTAAATGAAGTAAAGAATAGAATGATAGAGTAAAGTGAAGAATAGTGTATTAAATAAATAGTACCTATATTAAAACAGGAAATCAAATTAATTTTCCATTAGGCAGGCGGTGCCATCGATCAGTAATTAGGTATATGATGGAAATTTATTCTGCGTGATTCTATAATTAATCATCAATCAAATCAGAAAATTTTGTAGAAGGCTATTTATAGATGTTTTAGATGAAGTTATTTAAATTATAATGGGAAATATGTGATATTCTTACGTGTTTCGCTTTTTATATCAAATCAAATCTATTACGAATTTTCATTTACTTCTTACATTAATCAAGTTTTTATTATTTTATTAATAAAATTTTATTTATTATTATATTTCTTTAATTTTGTCAAAAGAACATATACTAGAAGAAAAAATGAAAACAATTTACTTTGTCTAGTCAACGAGTAATAAATATACTTCTACTTGCTTGTTGAAGCCATAAATTGTGCTTGCGTGTCGAACGAAAAGGTTTTCCTTTTTCTTTCGTTTTGCTGTTGCGTTATTAGTTCCTTTCGGTTTCATGACCAACAATAATATGAATGCACTTTTCATGCAACACACAACTTATCGTATTTGCTTCATTCCGATTAAAACAACTTGCCATAATTATATAAATAAATCAGTAAAAACTACGTAACGTGTATTTACGATCAGCTAAATCACTTCACGGAACTATTTAAGTTCATACGAGTGGCTAGACCTTGTTAGTTCTTGTGTTCATATTGTGTCATTTTTTGAGTAAAATTTAATCTTAGTTTTAGCAAATACAAAGAAAAAAGCAAGTTTATCTAATTATATACCCGTTACTTATTTCCAAGCAATTGTGTTTTTGTTTGTTAATTTGGTCGTGATTTCTTTGTCCGACTTGCTTACCGCAACGCGCTCAAGTTTACATTTTGTTTCATAAGTTAATTTTGTTTTGGGGGAAATGAATCACTGTTGCATACTTCCTCTACGATAATAAGCGAGCATTCTACCGTTCACAACACGAATGCATTTCTAACATAAATCAAAAATGGCACGACATAAAAGTTTAGAAATATGTTGATGTTTATAACTTAAATTCACGAATGATTTTTATTGTATATAATAAATTTAAAAAGTCCAAAACAATTTACAGGCAAAAATGGTATTTTACATCTAAAAAAAACTTTTTTGTTCTCCAGGAAAATGTGCTGTTACAACAAAGAGGCAGTTGTTCGATAAAGGTCATCGATTTTGGAAGTTCCTGTTATTCAAATCAAAGAGTATACACGTACATTCAGTCACGATTCTATCGTTCACCGGAAGTTATCCTCGGTTTGACTTACGGAACAGCTATTGACATGTGGAGTTTAGGTAAAGTTTTCTGCACATTACATTAAGGTGTACCTTAGCGGAAATTTTGTCTCGGAGATGTGGAAGCAGAACCAGGACGTTAATTAATATTTAATTATAGGGTGTATTCTTGCTGAATTATATACTGGGTATCCATTATTCCCTGGTGAAAACGAACTGGAACAATTAGCCTGCCTGATGGAAGTTTTGGGAACTCCATCCGAAGAAATCATCAATGCTGCCACAAGGAAAAGATTATTTTTTGGTAGGAATATATTACAATTCTGTTAGCAAAAGGTTTTTTTCAAAAGTACAAGAGTGTAATATCTTTTTTTTAGACTCGCGAGGTAATCCTCGTTGCTTAACAAACAGCAAAGGCAGAAAACGCAAGCCTGGCTCTAAGAATCTTGCCATAGCGCTTCGATGCAACGACACGTTTTTCATCGATTTTATCTCAAGATGTCTGGAGTAAGTTAATTGCGATGTTGAATGCTAAACATACTTCTAACTTGTGTGATAATGTTTGTAGATGGAATCCACGCAAGCGGATGACACCTGAAGAAGCATTACGACATGAATGGATTTTATCTGGGACTCGCCAGAAATCGCCGTCGAATGGGGAGTCCTTGCGCCATTCGCAATCCGAGGCTAGCGTTAATCAAGAATCGTCCTCTTACTCGTCGAGTGGAGCATCGAGCAGTTACTCCCGACAACACTACAAATGTGTCGTCGTCAAAAGTGATAAATTATTGAAGGCCAAAATTGTAGATAGTAGCAAGCTGAATGATAGCACGTCGGTCGATTCGAATCTCAACGATTCTGGCACTTTCCTGCCGCCGATTCTCTAAAATAACAGGAAGTTAGCCATAAGTAAATGCGGAGCGAGTTAGTCAACATATAAATGCATAACGCTTGTTGAGCTGATTAGTAGTTAGTAGGTACACACGAAAGTCATACATGATCTGAGAAACATGAAAAGACTTAAAAACGACTTACATAGCAAGAAAATTTGCAAAACACGAAAAAGACCAAACGAATACTTAAAAGGACCTACAAACGAAACATATTACAAAGTATTAAAAAAAGTACTGTGGTAGTTCTTCTTATCACCAACTTAGTTACGTTTAGGCAATGTCATACGCGTTCAATATGATGTCGCAAGTCATTCAACCTAGAACAATCATGAAATGATACCAGTACGAGTTAGTGATCAAAAGTAATTTGACACATTGACTCGTTCAGTAAGTCAATCCATTTCCAAAACAATACACATGTGTGGTTGATAAATACGTTATCGAATAATAATAATCACTAGGAATGTATTGTAAGAAATAAAGTATGAGTATTTAACAGGAAGAAAAGATAAATATTTACGTGTAGCATAATTTTCATAAAGAGTTGTTTGTGACTGATGATATAAGAATGACTAGAAACAAACAAAGTATTAAGTGAAGCCTAAAATATATAGCTATAGCATGTTGCTTGTTGCTTATTGATTCTATACGAATGCTGTTTTAAAAGATAAATATTCAAGTGTTTACAAGAAGATATATGTCAATTTTACAGGACTTCAAACTCCGTTATGCATATTAATTTACTTCTCTTTATAAATTGATTCTTACCATTAGCACAAAGTAAATTTGACATCAAATTTATTAGAACTAGTTTGATATCTGCGTGACAACATATTATCCATTAGTAATAAAATAAATAATTAATATTGTGCAAAATCAAAACAAATAGCATTGTTAGTGAAAACAGAGAAAACGCCTTGAGTAAGATATTATTATTAGGAAATGCCGCTTAAGTTGTATGCAATTATAAACTTTTGGAAAGAGAGACACTTTAATTAGTTACACGATGGAAAGTGTATATTTATATTATTTTCTAAATAATGCTCTCTTATTGGTTTAATTTATAACGATTTAACATTGATTATGCCCTTTACCAAACCAATTAATTTTGAAATTAAATTAATAAAAAACATAGGAAACTGCATCAAAAGTTAGAAATATCAAAATCGAATAACTCTTACGTAACACTTGCAAATAACAAACAAAGCCAAATTTTAAAAAATCAATTAACAAAGTTTACATGAATTACTTGAAACCATGTATATCTATGCAAAAGCTATTACGATAAAGAAATGTACTGAATGTACTCTGTAAATGTATATTAAGATAATTTTGGCAGATATGACTTAGGACAAGATCATCTAAAGAGATGATAAATCAAAGAAAGCTTATTGTAGAAATTCAGAAAAAAATTGAATCCCCAATTGTGATATCAACTGATAATATTAAAGTAATATTGTAATATTAATCTAATATATATATATATATATAATTCCGTTATGGATTTGTAATAAATTCTACTAACCAGTTTTGTTAATTATAAATTAGATATATCTGTTTACGAAATTAATTTTATAACTAGACAATTTAGTTTTGTTTAATATGATCACACATGATATGTGTAAAAATGTAGTACCCTGGCCTAGACATTGAAATCGATAAAATTTAGTTTGTAATAAGTAAATCTATTAACAAGTCGAAAACACGATTATGAAATCTTATTATTCAGAAAATGTAATGTTTCTATTCTATAGTGACATAACACTAAAGTTCGTGTTTAATCCAATCATACAATGTGTGCATTAATTGTAGAATAAATTAAAAGATTCATAGAAATGTTCCTTTTTTATGTTCCATATTGATAAAGCTGCACCATACTACATTTTTTATTCAAAGGGATTAATAATGTATCACGTTATCTTATGGCATCTGTCACAAAAATAAGTGTAGTACACTTTATTTAATGTCCTGCTCCTGTGACATAATAAAATCCTAAAAGCAAAATAAGGATGTATTTTTAGAACAGCATTTAATTTGAGTTGTTTTAATTTTTACGTTTTTTTGCTATGCGTCCCTTTAGATACTGCGAAATATACTACTTATGATTACTCAGCAATAACGAGAGCGAATAGCGAATAACGATCTGCTCTGCCCTCGTGCCCTGCACATTCAATCCCACATTTCAAATATGAGATAAGATATTTACGAGTAATACTGGAAAATTTCGTTTTTATTGTGGTCTGCAAAGTAACACCCAGTATCTCCCGAACTATATGATTTTGTTATAGTTTCTCACCACCATGTTAGAGTTAAAAAGTTTCCCTACAAGATGAATACATTTGCAACCCCCTAGCACTTCTGAAAATGCTCAAAAGTGTTTTATTTTTAGAAAGTGGCATTATTCATAAAGTATGTAAATATGATGTAGATAACAACCTATTATCTTTGTGCACGAATTAAACTAATTTTGAAAGTTTGTTACCGCTATATTAAAGCTCAAGAGTTCCTCTACAAGATGCATACCTTGTCAATCTTCTAGTCGATTTAGAAGTGCCCCAAAACTCTCTTTAAAAATTGGCATTTTTCATAAAAATTAAAAACATGGCGCGCAAAACAACCTGTATCTCGTGAACTAATTGAATTTTTTAAAGTTTGTCACGACAATTTTAAAGTTTGAAAGTCTCCCTACACAATGCATTATTTTTTAATCTTCTATCCTTTTCGGAAGTGCCATAAAATGGCCCTTAAAAATTGTCATTTTTCAGAAAAAAAAATGAAAACATGGTGGGAAAAACACCTTGATTCTCGCGAACTAATTGACTTTTTAAAGTTTGTCACCGCTATTTTAAAGTTTGAAAGTCTCCCTACATTACGCATACCCTTCTGATCTTCGAGCCCATCTGGAAGTGCTCTATAATGCCTTTCAAAAATTGACATTTTTCAAAAAAATTGAAAACATGGTGTGCAAAACACTCTGTATCTCGTGAACTAATTGACTTTCTTAAAATTTGTCACCGTCGTATTAAGGTTCAATAGTTCCTCTGCACGAGGCATACTCTTTTAATCTTCCAGCCCTTTCAAAAGTGCCCTAAAAATCACTTTGAAAGTTGCCATTCTTGTCCCAAAAATTTCATTTTTAGTCGAATAACAGGGTTGAACTATTTTGTTAAATTTTTTTTCGGTCGAAGAACAGGGTCAAACTTTTTTTAAAATTTTTTTTGTTAAAGAACAAGGTCTAATTTTTTTAGTCAAATAACAGGGTTGAACTTTTTTCTTTAATTTTTTTGCTAGAACAACAGAGTCGAACTTTTTTCTTAAAGTTCCCCGTCGAAACATTAAATTAAAGAGTCCAAATTTTGAATTTTTGAATGATAAAACAGTAATTTTATTTTATATTTAATAAAATTTTATTACTTTCATTTATGAACACGTAATCCATTGTATAGTTTAAAATATTAAATTATTAAATTTCTACGTGATTTTATTGGATTTTACAATTTTATATGTTGAGTTTGACATGTTTCGCCCTGAGGGCATCTTCATAAAGATATGATATGATATTTTTAATTGAAACAAGTTTTTCGCACTTATCTTGAAAGCCATTAGAGATAGAGAAAAACGGTTTTCATATTTGAATGTAGATTTACATTTTACATTATATAACATGTTAAAGTTTTCAGTTATCAACACTTACGTAATAATTAAAAATGGTCAATAACATGAAAACTAATTAAGATAGGGCAACCAAACCTGGATTAATGAAATCCGGGTGATGCCTTACTTCAATTGAAAACATTTGGGGTAAATCGGAGAAGTGATTTTAATGGATCAGTGTAGAATTTGCCACCCATTTTCCGAAATAATGATGTTATCGGAAAACTGACTTCATATATTTCATCCCCTTGAAAAACACAATCGATTAGCGTTTTCCATTTTCTTCTAGCTTAAAAAAAATTTTTTGAGTCCAAAAAGAGTCAAGTGTAACCTCTTAATCTTTTTGAGTGGTCTTTGGTCAACTTTGGAAAATGAAAAAACTAAATCTGCCATTTTATAGATCCATATCCCGACATGAACAAAATGAAGAAAGTTCTTTTCTATTTTAAATATTTTCCGAGAAAATCGGGGCGGAATTTTTTTTAGGCATATGTTACATTTCAATTTTTTTAAATGTTATCATATCTAGGATTTGATGCTGCACATCGGGGTGTTTTTGGTTTTTGTTTATCTCTATTAGTTCCCGCGATAATTGATTCTTAAGTCTCGATGGGAGTGCACATTTCACCTGAGATTTGCAGGAAAAAACTTTACTGCTATTACGAGAAAAGTTGTTTAAATTTTATCATTAAGAGCCCTTCTACACAATGAGGTAGTTCTCAATAATTAATTCAACAACTCTTTTAAATGTCAGGCGCCTTCGCCAATTTTTTCATAATTAATAATTTTTATTAAATTTAAAATAAATTTACTGTTTTATCATTCAGGAATTCAAAATTCCAACTTTTTAATTTAATGTTTTGACGGTAAAATTTTAAGAAAAAAGTTCGAGTCTGTTGATCTAGCAAAAAAAATTAAGAACAAAGTTCAATTCTGTTATTCGACTAAAAAAATTCGACCTTGTTTTTTGACCAAAAAAAAATTAAGAAAAACATTCGACCCTGTTTTTGAACCGAAAAAAATTTTAACAAAATTGTTCGACCCTGTTATTCGAACAAAAAATGAAATTTTTGGGACAAAAATGGCTATTTTCAAAGTGCTTTTTAGGGTTCTTCTGGAAGGGTTAGGGGGTTGAAAAGATATGAATTGCGTAGAGAAACTCTCGGACTTTAAGATAGACTTTAAAAGAGTCAAATAGTTCTCAAGATACAGGGTGTTTTTCACACCATGTTTTCAATTTTATTGAAAAATGCCAATTTTCAAAAGGCATTTTAGGGCACTTTCAAATGGGCTGGAAGATTGAAAGAAGATGCATTATGTAGAGGAACTATTGAACTTTAGTGTGGCGGTGACAAATTCTAAGAAAGTCAATTAGTTCACGAGATACAGAGTGTTTTGCACACCATGTTTTCAATTTTTTTTAAAAATGCCAACTTTTGAGAGGCATTTTAAGGCACTTCCAGAAAGGTTCGAAAATCGGAAGTATATGCATCCTGTAGGGAGACTTTCGAACTTTATAATAGTGGTGACAAACATTAAAAAAGTCAACTAGTTTGCGAGATACAAGGTGTTTTCAACACCATGTTTTCAATTCTTTTTAAATGCCAATTTTTAAAAGGCATTTTAGGACACTTTCGGAAGGGTTAGAAGATTGAGAAAAAATGCATTGTGTAGGGAGACTTATAAACTTTAAAATTGCCGTAGCAAACTTTGAAAAATTCAATTTATTCGCGATATACAGGGTGTTTTGCGCGCTATGTTTTTAATTTTTTTGTAAAATGTCTATTTTTAAGAAGATTTTTGGAGCATTTCTAAAAGGGCTAGATGATAGACAAGGTATGCCCCGCGTAGAGAAACTCTCGAGCTTGAATATGGCGGTGACAAACTTTAAAAATGTCCATTTGTTCACGAGATACAGGGTATTTTCTACACCGTATATACATACTTTATGAAAAATGCTACTTTCTAAAAAATGGGCAAGGAAGCGGGGTGCTTGATAATTTATTTTCACGATTTCCGACAGTCGAATATCTTCTAAACTAAAAGAGATAGCAACCAGAAAATTAAAGATTATGGAAGATTGGAAAATTTTCTAGCAGATAGAAATTTAAATAAAAATCATGTGTGCAGTTCACACGCGGTAGAAGTAAAACCTTCAGAATACTGCACTGCGAGAGAATGAGACGAAAGTAGTATCGGGAGTGGGATAATTATAGGGTATATTTATTATAATAATGATCATTTGTTTAGTAAATTTTATTAGACTGCTTACTTAAACTTAACTTAAATACTACAACGCGAAAAAACATGAAGATTATCTTTTCATTACTAATAATACTAATTTGGTGGAACTGTCAGATTATTAGTTTAATATTAGTCGTATGAAAATTCTGTTTACTATTTGCTAAATTAATAAGTCGTTTGAAGTTATTCATGTCAAAACAAATCGAAATTACATATTAATTCTAAACAATAAATTAACAATAAACAATAATTTGTACTTACTTACCATCTGAGTTCTTACGGGCCATCAATTATATATTAATCTGTTATATGGAAGCACATTCTGTCATACAAACCTAGTAATCATTGAAGTTCTTCTTCTAATTCTTCTATATTACAGAATGATACAATTAGAATATATCCTCTTCACTCATTTATTTAATTATACAATGATATAAATGGGGAGCGTCTTAAAAGAATTATGAGACTAGCATCAGTAGCACAGTAGATACGGCAATAAAAATGTCGTTCGAAAAAAATGTGCTAAAACTATCCAAACTTGCTGATCGTCTGTTAAAAGGCACACTGAAAGTACAATATTTCGATTGGTATTATTCGAAATTTAAATACAGCAGCTTAATAATAACATTTATTCCGTTCGTGACATTTATGATTGGTATTTTTAATCATCTAGTGAAACATTTAAGTATTATTTTATTTAATATTTGGTTATTTGCGGTAGATTTACTTGTCATTTGCAGGAACCCATGCGTTTATTTACGCTGATAATGCTCCTGATTTTTCGGGCCTTGTATCTGGTGTGTCAGCTGCATATTTAACATATGCACACTATAAGCAAAGAGAAGAAGCAAAAGAACTTATTAAAACATTCTCTGATTTCCGGCTCGTTGAAAAACCAAATACTTTTGATATCACAAACAAAAAAGTGAGCTTCGGTGGAGTACTTTTTGTTTCAGGATATTACCTAATGGCCGTTTTCGTATATATCGGATTTGCTTCAATTAGTTGCCCAGATGGAATCGAGGAAGGATGTGGATTATTGATGCCAATTTATTATCCTTTTCTCAACTTAAAAAAGCGCGGAATTCGATATGCAATCTTATTAATGCAAGTTTCTGGCGGTTTCTGCATGGCAATCGATACGTTTCTGATAACTTGGATTTACAATTCACAAGCTGAGTTATTATGCGCATTCATTAATCACTTAAAAGATATGTTAATGCAAATACAACAGATTCCAAATCCAATAGATCGAAGGCGTCAGTTTCGTGAGTGTGTGAAATATCATCATCATTTAATAGAGTAAGAATTTTTCTAAACATTGACCTATAAATCTATGTTTCTTTACTTAGCCTTGCAGGTCAACTCATGCCGCTTGCTGGAAATACTCTCGTTATACATGTGGTAAACTCTCCAATTGTAATGAGTATGATTGCTTTTCAGCTTAAGATTGTAATACATTAATAATTATGCAGTCTATGCCAATAATAATCAATTTTAATAATATTTCAGGAAATGTCAATTATTTTTGGTGCTCATTTCTTTATGTGGTTTTATGGAACTGGTATCACTTGTATCTTTGGACAACGACTAATAAACACTGTAAAAACAAACAAATACATTTATGGAAACCAAAATTAGAATTAACGCGTTTATTTTAGAGTGAATCACTAATTGTTACAGTGTACTTGTCTATTCCTTGGGATGGAGATTATGAATTGGGGAGAGACATGTTGCTCATGCTGTTAAGATCACAACGTACTTTTAAGATGACTGGTGGATCCCTAATTTCGGTTGACCACATTCTGTTTGTCACAGTTAGTATTGGTTTTATTAATTCGTATAGTATCTGATAACTTATCTATGTTACAGATTCTGAAAACGGCATATTCGTATATGGCCTTGTTTAGTGGAGAATAAATCTCAATCGTTACAACGACTTGTTGCACTAATTCCACCTGTAAAATTATTAACAGCAATAAAATGCATGTAATGCAATGGCATTCCAAATTTAGCTACACATTAGCCCTAATTCACTATTTTAAAAATATAGAAAAACGCATTGAAAATAAATAATAAGTAGTGGATATTTAAGTTCCGCTGTCACCATAATTAATGCAGTTACATTATATTCACATACGATTCTTCTGCGAATTTAATATAAATGCGTGCATTTTAACGCCACTGACTAGAGTGACAAGCTGTTTGTGCTCACTTTCTTACAAGCAGATAAATAAAATTTCAGGAATTTACTATAATACATTTAGTACAAGTAAAATACTTGGCTTTGAACTATAATGATACGGCGTTGCACACTGAAAATATTAAATATCCTGCCCTACAAAATCATTCTGAACACCCGATAAAATTGAAGATAAATATAATTTCAACGCTTAAATCGGCATTAAATTTTTAAAATTGCAGTCGGTGTTATAAATAGCAATTGGCATGAAAAATCTGCACCAAGATTTTTTAGCATCAATTTAACACAATTACACTTTCAAAATGAATCGTAGGCTATCCATTTAATATAGATGCGGTTTGTCCCTATTGGGGCTAAAATTAGAAATAATTATACAAACTAATATTTTAACATTTGATCCGTTTATTCGTAAAATGGCATTAGCGAATAAATCTCACCTCGCTTTTCTGACCCTGGCCTTCTCGTCCAACTACAGAAGCAATTTGCACTGAAGTCAAAGTTGTTGAAGTAAAAGTTATTGATTGAATAAATAAATGTAATGGCATGCCAAGTCTTTTGCATGTTATTAGTAAGTTAGTAATTGTTTTAGCCGCCCATTTACAGGAATTCATAATCCTTTCCATCTACATTCTACACACTTTGATTTCATATTACACTTACACCTAACATGTCCAACTTGTTTTATTTTGTAGAATAAAATATCTTGTAACTATTATACATTTTCTAAAAAAAAAGGTTTGTACAGATAGAAGTCAGCAGCATGATGAACGTAAATGCCACTCAGTGTTAAATAATTTTCCCTAGGTGCGTTTAAAGTGAGCAATCAAAACATATAAATAAATTGCTTATAAAACAAACAAAATCTCAACTACCCTGACTGAGACAATAAATAACTCAATAATATACAAAATTCATAACCCTACGGTTCGCGCACACGATAAAAATCGTATCTGTAAAATGGTAACATAAGTTAGGAGCAACCTACGTAATTCCGATAATGATGTTGGTAAGTAGTGAGGATTGTCCGTATGCATAAACATATGCAAAGTAAAGACCATGTCAGACAGAAATACAGATATTATAAACTGGCATTGAGGTTGTGTATGGTGCGTTTAAGCTTTCAGGGCCTTCATAAGAGTGTCCGTAGACATGGATTTCGGCCTTTCGATTGGCAGACCCAAGGCACGGTCCCAAACCAAAGAAGCGAGAACGCCGAGAGCTCTCGAAACACCGAACAACACGGTGTAGTAATTCATTTCCGATAGTCCATAATACTGAAAACAGGTGTATTAGTTAAACACCCGCAAACTACTTATTATATAATCCTACCTGAAGAAGTACACCTGAATGGGCATCAACATTTGGCCATGGGTTCTTCACCTTTCCAAGTTCCAGTAAAATTGGTGGCACAACTTTGTAAACATTCGAAACAATCTAAAACAACAAATAACAGTCATACACACAAAATTGGAAAGCAAAATAGTGAAAAATAGTAAAATATTTATACATACACCGAATAAGGGGTCATTGGGCAAATGCTTCAGGGCGAATTCACGCTGGCAAGTGTAACGCGGATCGGTCTTACGTAGTACGGCGTGACCGTAGCCGGGAACGACCTGTCCACCTTTGAGCGTCTTCCAGATAAATTCCTTCATCTGCTCCTCAGTTGCCTTGTCTCCGACTTGCTGCCTCAACTTCTGCAGCCAGATAAGTACTTCCTGATTGGCCAAACCGTGCAGAGGTCCGGCAAGACCGTTTAGACCAGCAGCAAACGATAGGTAAGGATCGCTCAACGCAGATCCCACCAAATGTGTAGTATGCGCAGACACATTACCACCCTCGTGATCACTGTGAATTGTCAGGTACAAACGCATCAGTTCAATGAACTGTGGGTCGTCAAAGCCCAACATTTGCGTAAAGTTGTAACTCCAATCTTTGGAGGTGTCGATGGCACCAATCCCTGAGCCGTGCTTGAAGGTGTTGCGGTAGATGGTGGCCGCGACCACTGGCAGTTTCGCAATCAAATCCATGCTATCTTCATAGACGTACTACAAAAATGTAATATAATAACGTAAACAAATATAAGATTGTTTGGACAGTCAAAGTTACCTCCCAATATTTGGTTTTGTGAACACCGCTAGAATAAGCCTTAGCATATTTACTCTCGCTATTAAGGACGGTAACAGCCGCACTGAGCTGAGACATCGGATGCACATTTGTGGGCAAATTGTTCAACAAAGTTACGACGTGTGCTGGTAAGGCTGCACGCTCTGCCCATTCCTTGGACACTTGCCTCACTTGAGCGTCAGTAGGCACATCGCCAGTCATCAAAAGCCAGAAAAGACCTTCAGGCAGAGGTTCTGCACCACCTGGAGCTTTGGGTAGCAGTTTCTGGCATTCAGGAATAGAATATCCACGGAATCTGATACCCTCATCCGGATCCAGAACGGAAGTTTCGCAAACCAAACCTTTAATGCCTCTCATGCCACCATACATCTATGTTAAATTAAAAAAAAACATGGATAAATACTCCAATCACACGGTTTTAAGTTATAACTTACCATGTCAACGGTAACTTCACCAACTTTGGTATTGCCGTGCGCCTTCCGGAAGTTCTTAACGCGCTCCTGCTCTTTGGGGATTTTCGATGCCATAACGGCCTTGAGATCTGTCGATGCATCACTGTATTGACGGCACGCTTGCGATAGAACTTTCTGTAAATAAGAAATGTTTTTGTTTGAACAGATAACTCCTTAACTATGAAAAATAATTACAGCATTTATTTTGCCAACATTAAACGCTACCAGCGATGCGTTTAGAGTTAAGATCTAATGTTTACCAAGTTCTAAATAAAATAGAGAGGTGATTCCAAAATTCCAAAGTGCATACACGACGCGTGCATCAGATGACACGGAGTTCATCTGTTATCATTCGCAAATAAACTCGGAACGTTATTAAGAATACAGCCACATTGCAGTTAAAAACTAAGGTTTCAAAATTGGGATTTTTAAAATTCATATTTCATACATGTACTGAAATAATTATGCGAGTTTTGTAATAAATCGTCGTCCTTGGCAACAACGTGACTGATTATACAAACACGGGCACACGAGCATACAGTATAGATAGCGAGCGAAGTCGCGCGCAGGTAAGTACCTATTATTCCAGAGATAAGCTAATCATTTGCTAATCAATTATAATCAATAAAAAACGCTCGGCGCGACAATTATCACATCGCAGATTTAATTAAAGTAAGTAGGCCGACGAGCGTTTGGATGCGACGAAAATACCCACTAACCTTTAGTCTTGTGTGAAAACTTAGAACATAAGTGATCGGAATCGTTGCAACGCCTGCCTGTTGAGCAATCGGCGCCAAACGTTATGCATTAAAATTATCTATGAACATACATAATTGAAATTTTCCAAAACGCAATGTTCGTGCCAAAGTATGTGGTTACGACTGTAACGCAAATATAGAGCTAGTTGGTATTAATTTATTTGATCGAATTGAAAAGCGTGGGTTTACATACATTGCGAAGTTTACATCTACGCACAAGGTGCCTAAAAATAGGCAAAAAAAATAAAACGTAACGGGCTACCAAAAATATAGTTTCCGACAATATTTCAAGTCTATTCCCAATGATCCTTTGAACAAATATATGCTAACTATGATATATAGTATGATATATGTCTCAGCTGAGCAATTGACAACAATTATATCATTAGAATATGGGTAATTGTATAATTATAGTGTTTTTCGATTGAAATAACGTATTATTATGTAAATTATGAAAGGATAAAACAACACTCGTGAAAAACTATTTACATACAGTTTATAAAATAGTGTAGATCTGCACTGAAAGTCGAAAACTTTGGCAATGACTTTGAAGTTACAATAACCAAGGTAAAAAAAAACCTCTAATTTGCTGAATTAATAGTTGCTAAGTTTGCGTGCTGTCGTTTGAAAATAAAATAAGTAGTATTTACGGGACCTTGGCAAGCACTCATTGTATCAATGAAAGTATACTAAAATTACGTAAATTTGTTGAATTGTATCACGTTGAAACGTGTGTAAACATAAAACAGAGAATAATTATCGTAGCGTGCTGACGATAGCATAAAATGACATCAGACTAGATTTTCTCAGAATTATTGTAACGATTACCACTTAACTAGGTTTTTGGAATTACCAAATTGCCTTATTTTTATTTTGAAGCTTCAAATAAAGATAAGAGTATACGTTGAAATTTCGGTCAATGCCATAAACTTGTGAACTTGACGATTTAACAGTTTGAACATTAACCGTTCTAATATCTAATGATTGAAGTAGAACAGTACTTTGATTTTACAAGAATATTTGTCCCTCGGAGCATCAGATAATTAATTCAGAATAATACAGTTAACTAGCAAAAATTACGAATTCGAATGATAATGTAAAACGTGGAATTGTTGGATAATCACATGATTATCCAGCAGGTATATAATACCAAACGATGACGTTCAAGGAGACTGTCATAAATTTACAATGACAATGAACGTGCGTTTCATTACGGACATATTTTCCGAATGTAAAAAATACTTATTCCGGTTGTATTGAAGGTTTAACGTTGTATATACTATATTAGAGTTATTTTAGAATATACTAGTTGACCTTTCGAACCTTCGCATCGCTCCAAAACTTTACTCGGAAAATTTTAAACAAAAAATTTGAACAAGGTCAACGCATGATCCGCAAGTAAGAATGACCGTTTTATGTGTTATATAACCGTCACCTCTGTTCACTGGCAGATACAAAGTGTGAATCAGCGAACCTAAGCGAAAATCTGGAAAGCTTTATATTTGAAGACTACTGTATATCACGAATATTTGAGCGTTGCTGGCTACCTGCTTATGAATATCGCATAGAAAAGTGCCGACCATGCTTAGCCAACGAAGCAATTTTGCAAGGCAACTCTTACTGACTCACATTGCGAATAATATCCAGTTATGCGGATACATGGCAGTAATATCCGGCAGGAAAACTGATTGTTTACCAGACGCCGATTGTAGTGTAATATTCTACCCTTAGTTACACGACAACCCCACAAGGCGATTTTGAGAGGGGTGAATGCGAGGGAAAGACACATTTTGTGACGGCAATTATACAGCCAAAAATAAAATTGTACGTACCTGGAATTCTGGGAGCTTGTTAGAATAGACGCGAAATAGTGCCATGTTTATCGTAGTTTCGATTCACCGAAAAAAACAAACCGTGCCGATGTGCCGATCTTCACTGTTAAATGATTGCACGATGCAAAACGTGCGAACCGACTGTGATACACTGACTGAAATGGACTGAAATGCGCGCGCGGCGTTGTGGTGTGTGCGCCTACGGCGTGCGAGCGAGTGAGTATGCGGTATCCGCGTCACTCGTTGGATTCGGAATATCGGCAGGCTCGGCAAACCGACAGCACGCAGCATGCTTATTGCCTTGTTTTCGACGCAAGGCATCACGGAGAGCGCGTGTTGCGCGCAAGCGTGTTTCCACACATCGCATCGAAATGCGAACTGTTCTACCAATATGCCAAACGGCCTCAAAGCTCCAACCTCATTCAGCGTGTGATGAGCATCGTTGTGCTGTGGATATCATATCATCGCAAGGCTGTATCGTAATGGACACACGATATCGCCACATGCTTAAACTACCGACAGACAAAAAAATTGCCAACATTTATGTTTTATTTTATCAGTTATCACAATATTTACGTCCAGCATAAAAACATTTAATAAGTTTATATAATTACCAGCACAGATTCTATTTCTAGAACGATTTATCTTAAAAGTAAACATGTATGAATTAGCTCGTAACTAAAGTGAGTTCAATTTATAAATCTTAAATTATCAGATATGCAACTCATAATTCTTCATTTGTGTGCATAGGCTAGCGCCACCTATGAATTTGATTACTAAATTAATTTGCTGTAATTCTATACACACCAGCTTTTACTGCCCTCTTCATATTCAAGTTTAAACTAAGCTTGGTTTCCAATTTTACCTTGCTGAAAATGCTAGGAAAATCTTTGATGACGGTTCAGGAATCTGAAACCTCTAATATGGGATCGATAAATGCCAAGTTGCGATTCCTGCGCAATTCATTCTAGACTGACTGTAGGTAGTGGCCAAGGGTAAACAGTGGCGTTAATCATTAAAGTGTTATTATTAAAATTCCGCGTAGTTAGGAAATTTGAACTATAACGTAATAAAAATACGGTAGACTGCAAAGATGGCAAAATTACAAGGGTTCTTTGAAAACTTATGGTGCTCTAAAAGCATGCTTATGCTTTTTAACGTCTGTTTTGTTGTAAGTGCAATTGCTCGATATAAACAAACTTTACTAGAAATACGCTTTGTTTTCATAGTTTATCGGCTTGGGATATATAATAATTGGCTTATGGATGGTAACGTATTTGTATAAATTCATGGAGATGAGCACTGAATTTTCCGAGTCGATACCATATGTGTTTATCGCAATCGGTGCGTCGATTTCCATCGTCAGCACCATGGCGTGTGTGTGCACAGCCAAAGGTCAACCAGCGTTGTTGTATTTGGTACATTTTTGGAATTAATACACTATGCAAATAGTTAATTTACAAATTGTATGTTGTAGTACGGAGGGTATTTGGCATTGATCTTCGTCTTGCTGTTTGGCACAGGCGTATCTATATTTGCATACCGCACTAAACTTTTGGCCGGATTTGACAAGGGCTTGAATGAAAGCATGCATCTTTACCGTCCTGGAAATGACGAACTCATTGCTGACTTTGATGAGATGCAAGAAACTGTAAATTTTAATTCGATAAAAGCCAACAATAAAAAATTAAATATATTATATTTTAGTTAAAATGCTGTGGTAATCATAGATATTCCGACTGGCTGGATTTGAGTCCGTCTATGCCAACACCGATTTCATGTTGCATTGTTCCAGACTGTGAAACTTCTGATCCGACTCAAATTTACACTGAAGTAAATACATCGCAATATTATTCTAATAATCTAACTATGATCTGAATAATTTTTAGGGTTGTTATGACAAGGTAGTCAATTACATTCGTGACAATGTAGGAGCTTTGGCAATCGTTGTACTCGTCCTGGCATTTATGCCATTACTAGGAGTATTCTTCGCATGCTGCCTGGCCCGTTCAGCAAACAAAGCACGTTATCAACAGATGGCCTAAATCTAAAATTACATCAAAATTCTACACGAACTCTATGAAAAATATTCACAGTTTATGAGAAAGGTAATATTACCTTGTCTACTTAAATCTACTCATATCAGACTTACAATTAACTTCAACATGAACAAACACGTAAATCAATTAACACTTCAAGTACTTTAAAAATTTAAGCGTCCAATTATGATAACACTGAAACTGATCAAATTTAAGTAACCATATATTTATTATATACTATTTATTCTATCTTTAAAATTTGAAAAGAAGGGTTTGCAAATATTCAGAACTGATATAAACGTGCTAAATATTACGAAATTGTTAGTGTGCTACACAATTTTAAAAATTTAACTACTTTGAAACTCTATGTGTTATTTGCTCTCTAATATAACTTTGTAACTTTACTACTCACGACTGTTATACCAACGAATACAATATGTTTACATATTTTTTGAATATTTATGAGCGTTTTTTATTCAAGTTATGGATAATTATATTCTTAGACTTGAAAATTTACAAATATCCAACGCAAGTTAAGCTTTTATTTATTATAAAAGCAAACTATCTAAATTAATCCAAGTTGGGTATTTGCGAAAAAACAAAAGATACAAAAATATGTATCTATATTAAAACTAAATATTGCATAATATCTATATATGTTATATTGTATACTTGTATTGTATTATCATTATTAAATAAAACACGTGTATTGCAGCATGTAATATTTTTTCATTAATTTCTATTGTATCTGACGTTAATTTATGCAAAAATAAAATTCCTGTTCAATAGATTTCTTTCATACTTTTATAGGTTTGTATTTCAATTCACAGATGACGCTGTAAGCAAGATTTTGATCATATTTAAGTTATAATTCCATAAATTATTAGTGTGAATGTATTTCTCATCGTTTTATCATTCAGAAATATCGTTTAAGCACAAAAAAACTTATATTGCATCTACTGGACCCGCGGAGTGCTTAATAGGCTTTTAAAAACCTAGCAGCAATTTGTGTAGCACTTTTTAGTTGTGCGGAGTGGAGTAAATAATAGAAACGAGTTAACTACATCGCGGTGCATGTTGTACTATTAGAATTGTCTACTTGTATAATAAAATATGATAAACAAATGGAAAAGTAGCCGAGGCGAGAGTATAGTCGGCGCAATTGCGGCGGTGTTTTTTACCCACCTGTTGGGTTCGGCGGCGCCACGGGCGTGTCGTTTTACTATGAACTTGTCTTTTCGTAACGTATGTAAGCGTATGTGTACGCGGCGCAAGCCTGCTCACACATTACCGTATTTTATTTTAATGCGAGCTGAATTAATAGCGCGACGCCGGCACGATAGACAGCCACCAGCCACTTGTCGAAGTGCGCGGGCAACACAAAACGATTCAGAAGACAATAAAGGAATGCTTCCGCAAGGCGCATTTGCATTGCAAATTCGCAAAGCTCGAGAACTCAGAACGCAAAATTAGTCATCGGTGTCAGTGCCAATTGCGACAAATAACCAAATCTGCTCATGGGCAATTAGTCAAATTGAAAACTAATGAGTAAATGCAATACATGCAGTAAACAGCAATACAAACTTTGCATACAGCGGTGTCTTTTTCATTCGGAGTTTAATTTGCAATCGTTGTGTATTGTGGGTGAAAAGAATTGATCAGCTTGCGGCCGATAATGGCCGATCGAGCGATTGATCGTGTTTGCATGTCAATGCGCAATTTCTCGATATATCGGCGTAGCGCGCTAAGAGAAATGACGTTGCTCTACAAAACGACTATTAAAACATTCATAATTTCTCAAGAGCGCTGAGCTCTGCAAGTACAAGCATACAACAAATATTTACTCGCCTCAGCTTTAAGGTTGACCCACTAAAGTGAGTGCCTTTTGTGTCTATGCGCCTTATCAAAACTGCAATAAAAACGTTAGTTAAGTACATGCATATATGAAAGTTTAGCGTGATCACTGCGGCAGTTGTTAATAGCCCAACAAAGTTGTAAACCGGCGGCAATGCAGGCAGCCGTAACAAAACTGGAACGCTTTGTTGTTGTTATTATTTCATCAGAACTACGGCGATGGTGATGGCGACGACGGTTTTGTATCTATGGTCCTACGTACTACAAGGGAGAGTAGTGCAAGAAACAATATTAGCGTTGTTTTGCCGTGTGCATAATGTAGGTACATGATGCAATAACAAATTTTCGCAATTGCAGTGGCCCGTGTGCAAGCGTCATCGCCGCGCAGATAACGAAAGACGTAAAATTAATTTCGATTTTATTAATCGTCTACGGTCCCTATTTATACTTCAGAATTTCATTACCTTGTCGGCAGAGTGGAGAAGTAAATCACTCGAAATTAGGCGGTAGTTTTCAAGCAATGGAAATATGTACGTGTTGAACTTAATAACCACCAATTTTAAAGGTGCAAAATACCTTGAGGGCCAACAACATCGCACAACATAATTATACTTAAATCATAACTAAAACCATTGGCACCATTAACTTATTCTTGACTAACTCTTTTTTACAATAAAATCTACCAAAATATAAATGCATAGTTACTTTTTTACCTTAATATTTTTATTTTGAAAATAACACGTGCTGATTAAGTTAACAGCCGCAAATGTATAATTGTTGGTTCTATGCCCTGGATTAGTATTTACTCAAAAAGAAACACAATGAAGTTTTAACCTTCTATTTATTATGATACCTATGAGTTATTAGTTACACGCAATAAAAGATGATTTCACACCTGTCCGTCTGGCATGCGCGCGCTGCGCTTGATTATGAAAAGAAAGAAAACACATGCTCATCATAGAGCAATTAAAATATGCACTATCATCTAGCTGAAATTAAAGCGATTCTAGGGTACCACCTCTTTTGGTTTCTAGTTTAGACATGCATATCCAAACATATTCAAATAAATATAAATGGATTATTACGTATAACTTGTGAACAACATTGGTACAAAATTATTGTGGTGATAAAAATTTAGTTCCCATGCAAATTCTTGGTATGTGTCCGGTCTTATCGATGAAATTCGAATCGCATAAATCCCGCAAGCAGCCTGCCACACACGACCGCATGAATTGATAATTATCGAAATATATGCAAAGGAAAAATTAATTTTTAATTACACCTTATACGGCCGAAGAAAAAAGAACGACCTTCTCCGCAATTTCCCTCGCGCTGACCGGGATGTTTATTGTTCTCTTCGTTATGTTCAGCGCGTCGTGTTCGGCGCATCGCTGCAAGAAATGAATAATATGTAAATCATATGGTGGTACTAAAGGGCGATGCTTGAGTAATTCATCGCGGCATGCACGTATACATGCGATCGGTACAATAACGGTGATCCGTTGATTATAAAATTACGATCATTTTCGAAAAGGGATAGCGTATCTGCCGTTATGTGGATAGACGGTCGAGACGAAGAAAACGCACGCGCGGCTGAGGACACTTAACTTATCATTAAATCATATTTTATAATATTGTAAATAATCGTCTGTTTGGTCAGCGCGCACGGCGCGACCTGTTGTTTCGTTCGACCGCGGGAATTTTCGGGGCGGCCGTGCACCCATCATCAGGTATATGTGTTTTAAATCAAAGTCGCGGAAAATATATTGGCAACTACACCTACCTACCGCCTTATTCAAAAGGACGAGACAAGAAATTCGCCAAAAGGTCGTAAATATTGGCGAGCAGTTTTAATTGCTCTGCATATAGGTACATAAGCGACTCGTACGAATCCACATGCACCCAATTATTATAACATTTTGCGTTTTTTCGCCGTCGTTTTCAAATCATTAAACTTTGCACATTAGTTTGCAGGGCACTTTTTACCAAACATTAACATAAATATTAAAAAGATTATAGGTTCTATGACTAACCATAAACGAATTTTCGACACCTTTCTTTCCATTATCATGATAACAAGCATAAGAAATTACCACCACAAAAACTATTAGCTTGTTAAGCGAAAATTCTTTTTTGCCATTTAGACAAAACAAGTTCCTGGTATACCTACCTATAACTATAAAAGGCGTTAAGCAGATCCAAAGTGCCGATATAAACTGGCCAAATTAAAAAATAATGGCCAAAGTAGCAAAACGGTCGAATCGATTCGACCCCTGATGAAAGGGTCGATCGATTGAATGCAGGTGAAAATTGCAAATGAATATGAATCATTAACACATTAACACTTTATAATACTAGGTGTTATGCAATCTAAAAAAAGTATTTTCGGCACTGTGATACAGTGCGCAGAAAGAATGCATTATTGTCAAGTTCGCTGATAAAAAACGAACACAAATTATCATATTTCTGGCGAGAACAATGCGCCTGATTGTATTATCAGCGAATGAAAATGAAGGAATAAAGAAGGCACTGTGCGTGCACATATCAAGATCGCATATTCTTCGTATTCGAGTGTCGATGTCTGTCTTTGATTGCGTGCATATCTGCTAAAATAATTTGCGAGTGGAGTACACAGGCGTACAATAAGATATTGATATGTCAAAGGAGTGAAATAATGCCGAGAAAAATCCGTGGTGCCTACCTACGTTCAAAGGTCGTGCCAAAATTTCTCCAAGCAACGGTCCCAGCAAAAAAAAACCAAGAGATAAAATCGTTTAAAAATCCATCACTTCCGCGTTGTTCGATGCATATAGGTACCAACACATACATTTTATTACTGAAATTTTAACGGCGACATTAAAGTGCGCCACACTTATGCGAGGATTTCGACAAGTTTTTAATTTTTATTGCGCGACGTCGGCATGCACACAATAAAAGTTAATTAATAATTGCGCCGGAGCTCTCGATGAATCGACGTTGTCGATGAGCAGACTGGAATGCATAGAAAAAAAGCTTCATGATTTTATTATTATCTGTATAAGCAAAAAAACTTTAATTAACAACCCAAAATAAAGTAATCGATGTATACTGAGAAAACAGTTATTTCATAACACAATACAAAATTTCTCTTAATTTGTACTATAGCGAAGATAATGAAGATGTTCCAAAACTTCTTTTATGTTTCTGTGCGTCTATATTTCACATTAATTCCATATTGGAGTTGTAGGGTTTTAACACAAAATCTAAGTATAATTCTGTTTGTGTTTTACTTCACGCACGTAAGAAATTGTTGCAACCCTTAAGTTTCGTTCAGTAAACGCAACAATGTCTGTTGAACCGGCAGCTAGTTAGACGCCGTAGACGAGATAATGATCGTTGAAACACGTGTCGGTTTTACGAACAAAACGGCGTAATTATAGAGAATTGTATCGCACCTCTCGCCGCATGGTAGAAGAACCTATGTTTTGAACGACAGCAAATTATGCCCCCGAATAAGATTTCTTGCTCGTTTGACTTTTAGTATCTCTTGCGGTATTGTGGTCGACCTACAACCATGCACCACACAGGACCTGACAGGGCACACGGGTCACGGAGTGTTTTCAGATGCAACGCGATAATAGCCCTCACGTGGCCGCAAGCGCCACCCGCAAACTTTACATCTGCCCTCATCGCCCCGAAACCGTTTAGCCCTCCTACGTAGCCGCAACAAATTAATTTTTATTCCCTAAAATGCTGTACGTGTATAGCACCTCACGATTTATATATTGGTTAATTTTTTTGTATTTTTAGATTCTAAAATTTTTGTTGGATATTTTGGAAACAAAAAGTTTTTATTCATAATAGAATCAAACAGGCTAACG